AACAAAGCACTATGGGAATGCAGAGGAGGAAGAGGCGCCGATTTTGCCCTGGGGAGTGAGGGAAGCTTCTCAGAGGGAACAGTGAGTCCCAGAAGCGGGGATCTATTCCAGGAGCAGGTGGACTGGAGCCAACGCAAAGAGGGGAGGCAGAAAACAAGGCTGGACTATGAGGCTGAGGTCTGACTGGACGAGGCCTTGAAGGCCAACAGCAGAATGTTGGCCAGACAAGTCTTCAAGGAAGGAGCCCGCGAGCCCAGCGGGAAGGCTCTTACAATAACAGTGCATGAGGGTGACTGTGAAAAACATGCCATTATTGATTTCTGCCTATACCTTAGCCTCCTAGACCCTAAGCCTCCATGGACCTGCAGGAAACACATAGAGATATAAACAGCTTGGTTCTCCTCAGAATGAGACCCAAGCGGAGGAAGATGCTGCAATCACATTTTCAAATCTTGGACAAATGGTCTCCGGTGCCCTGAAGGCACTCCCGACAGAAGCTGCCCAGCCAGATTCTTGCCTTGGCACCGATCGGGGCCAGAAAGAGACTGAAGCATCGACAGAGCTGGGGCTGGAGTCAGGACAGCTGGGCTGCTGGTCTTCCTCCGGGAAAGAGGGAGCAGAGACCCCACCCACCCAAAGACCACTGAGTTAGACAGGTCCATCAGGCCCTCAGACACATCTCAGTCTCTATCCAGCCTCCCTCTCTCCTCTGACCACATGGGAGGGCTATACACAGGTTGCAGGCAAAGACAAGAGCTTTCACTAGCCATTGTTTCTTCAAATGGACTGACATTCACTTGGGCCTGTAGAAAGAGTGCAAGCGCCCCTACACATTCCAAAGAGCCATTGAAACCAAGAGCTACTCAGTGCTGTAGCGAAGGAGACCCACCACTGTGGCTTACTCACCTGATCCTTAGGCATCGCAGTGACTCAAGTGGCTCCCTTCCAGGATGAGCCCCGCACGGATTGCCATGTCCCTTTAAAAACAAGAGCCCAACAGTGAACGTTACTTTATCATACGTTACAGACTCCTATCTTCTCCCCGCCAAGAGGGCACCCACCCCCCTCGCATGCTTGTGCACTTTGCCCCTTAGTAACACATTACCCAACAGGAGGAAATGGACAGAGAGTTCCTCTCTGTGCTCCCCATCTTGCATGTGAAGAAAGGAATTGTGAGATGCTCACACAAATGCTACTGTCTGCCACTGTCTGGGCACCCCAGGGGCTTATCACATCTCCACACAAAGGCTTGCAGAGAAAGGGAGGTGCGGCTGAGGAAAAACGCTTCATCAGGCACTTCCGTAAAAACAAAAAATGCCAGGATTCCTAAGCTTAGGACATGACAAAAGTAGATCAAGCTGATATAAACACCTCGTCACAAGTCACCAAAGTGCAATGCGTCACATTTCCTAAGATGGAAAGGACCAAAATGCTAAATACACTAGGGAGTTATGAAAGTGGGCCATCTGATCGGGGCTGGGCTTCCTAACCAAATTATTACTTTGGCTTCCGATGGCCACCCAAACGATTTGATTACATCTACTGCTTCTGCAGAGCATGCCTCTGCACCTGTCTGGAAAACGGAGCCCAGAGTCGCAGGCATTTCTGAAGATGTACTTTCACAATTCTAAATTGTGCACCAGAGGCAGCCTCTCGCAGACAGAAGCGAATGCCGGTGTGCATGTTGAGATCTCCAAGAGCCAATCCCCATCCTCCCTGGACGCACACACATGCACAGAATTGATCACTGTGATTGCACAGGTGTTCTCTCTAATACACACAGGTCTGCACTGAGAGCCGGGGGTTGGGACTCACTGTTCAGAATTCTCAGACTATTCATGGGAGAGAAGCTACTACTGACTGAGCACTGGCCAAGCATGGGACGAGCACCGTTAGGGACTAGACCTGCTTTGTCTCGGTGGCTCCTCACAGACAGGGACAGGGGCTCAGAGAGCAGAAGGCCCTGGCATGGCCGCACTGGGACCACGTGCTCATGGTCGACCCCGCCACCAGGTGAGAGGTGTGCTAGTGCAGCTGTGTGCTGGTAGGCTTCGAGAGCAGCCACTTGGGCATCATCTCTGTCAACATCATCATCATCATCATTATTAAGCCACACCTCCCTGCCTGTGACAGCTGATAAACAGGCTCACCCGCCTTGGCCACATTCTATCAGCATGAGCTGTGGGCTCTGTGGAGTCTTCTGGAGCCAGAAGTCAGAGAGGCTGGAGTCTCCATTTATCTGCTTCTCAAGGGAAGCTTCTGGGTACAGTGGGTGGGGAAGCTAGACATCCTGGCAGAGATTTCTACCATTGGTCTTCCCAGGTTTGAAACTTCCCATGCTCCCCAGATCTCAGGAACAGAAGGCCCTGCCCACCCAGGAAACCTGCTGAGACCAGAAGCAGGGAAGCGGGGCTGTCTGCAAGGCGGGTGCAGGTGGGCACTTCCAGACAGCCTACAAAGGCTGACCACCAGTCAGATTCCCACACAGGCCTGGGCACACTGTGATCTAGCCACTCCAAGTACCAACTCGTACCCTCTCTCTGACCATCAGCCAAACATGCTTTGAGCTGCCTTTATTTCCACTAAGTCAGAAGGCCTGGAGCCCAGCATCATTCCTCCCTTACATGAGCCTCACTCAGCTCCCTTGTCTATAAAATGAGAAGCTTGACCTAATGGGTGATTTCCTCACCAAGGATGCCTTCCAGCTGACTCCTCCATGGGCCCTGACTTTTAGAGACATCTGTAAAAATTAGTTAGTCCTTTAAAGGAAGGAGAGAGATTCATCCATGGGTAGTTATCATTTGCTATCTCAGACAATTGTCCCAGCAACCCAATGAGTCAGGTAGTAAAGTCATGTCATAGAGGGGGAAATGGAAGCAAGGTACAGCCAAGTGCCGCCTTACCTGGAGACTCACTCAGCACTGTCCCAGCAGTCTGGGACTCACAGGTGAGCTGGCCTGGCTCCATGCCCACGCTCACCCCCTGACACAAAGTTTTTAATCAGAATGAAGAAGCAAGTCTCCTCTTGGACCTGCCATCACGCCAGTCCCAACCAAAGGAGCATGAGGTCTGACTTGGGTAGTGCAGGAAAGGTCTCCTGTGAACTTGAGTGGCCTCATGGATCTCGAGGAGACTAAGAACAATTCGGGAACCTTCCCCTCTGCTGTTCTCCAAGCCTACCTCCATGGCGACCAGGTCTTCACTGAGGGACCCCAAGCACTTGGAACAGGGCCTCCACACTGGGCACTCCATAAATATTTGATGAATGGAGGAATGAAGAAATCCAGAGCTTAGAGGCACTGAAGACTTACTTAGGACCCTCTGGTATGAGTTAGTGTGAAACACACCCAGCTTGGAGCCACAAAGCCTCAGCAACGTGTACCGAGCGGAGGTCTCCACACTCCAAGCTCCCAGGCAGAGAATGGAGGTGCAGATGCTGAACCAGGTCTGCTCTTCATCCCAGTCACCAGGGAAGCTTCTGACAGAGCAGGGAAGTGTCTGCCATAAAGGCTACCCACTGAAGTGGTCCTGAGCTCAGGCAAACCAGGCTTCCTATCCCAGCTCTGTCACATTGCATGAGTCAGGTGACCCCTGGGCAAGCCACATAATCTACGTGAGCCTCAAGGCCTTATCTGAAAGCAGGGATAATGTTAGTGCCTACTCTAGGGAGCTGTTCTGAAGATGGAATGAGAGTATGTTGTAAAGCAGTGGTTCTCAACCTTCTGGCCCTTTAAATACAGTTCCTCATGTTGTGACCCAACCATAAAATTATTTTTGTTACTACTTCATAACTGTAATGTTGCTACTGTTATGAATCGTAATGTAAATATCTGATATGCAGGATGGTCTTAGGCAACCCCTGTGAAAGGGTCGTTCAACCGCCAAAGGGGTCACGACCCACAGGTTGAGAACCGCTGCTGTAAAGGACATAGCCCAGTGTGTCGCTCAGAGTAAGTGCCTGCAGCGGACAGCTGTTGTTATTGTCTGCATCAGAGTGGGTGGTTACAAGCACATCTGGAGTCCTTTGCATGGGTTCAATTCCAGCTCTCCTATGAGCTATGTGGCCCTGGGAAAATTGCTTAACCTCTCTGTGCCTCATCTTCCTGGTATGTAAAATGGTGTTGATTTGAAGATTAATGAGTTATATAGGTAAAGAGAAAGAGCTTAGAATGTCTGGCACAAAATAAGCACTCAATAAAAGTTAGTATTATTCTAACCCTAACCGGCTTGGCTCAGTGGATAGAGCGTCGGCCTGCGGACCCAAGGGTCCCAGGTTCAATTCCGGTCAAGGGCATGTAACTTGGCTGCAGTCACATCCCCAGTAGGGGGTGTGCAGAAGGCAGATGATTGATGTTTCTCGCTCATCAATGTTTCTAACTCTATTCCTCTCCCTTCCTCTCTGTAAAAAATCAATAAAATATTTTTTAAATAGTATTATTCTTATTTATTAGTAGTACTAGTATCCGTCTCCCTTTGTTCTGACAACAGATTTCACCCCATCTTCTACTCCCCAGACAAAAAGGTGGTCATGGGACTCAAGATAGGTTCATCAGAGTTTCTTTCCGCCTCGGCCATATTTGTGGGTACAAAGGGTGAGCCCATGCTCCAAGCTGGGAAAATATCCAATCTGAAAAATCATAGTGGAGGCCTAGTCCTCTTGGGGAGGGTGAAAGGATATGTGGGGTCAGCTGGGAGCTGTCTGCAGCCACAGGCCACTAAGCAGGGAGGGTACTGTTTTGGGGATGTTGAGGTCACCTGTTCTCTGGCCCCTCATCTACAATGGGCCCTCCACCCCACCTAGAGACAGCCTTCAGGAAAGGGACTGCCTTAAGGCCCTGACAGGACAGGCAGCTGGTGGATACCCACAGTGCATCTGTGGGCATGTTTCCTTCTCTGGACATTGGCTATTTTAAGCTCCAAGAGCATCAGTGCAATGCTAATGAGATGGCATTTACCCACGGGTTTTAACTGGATATGCCTGTCAGAATCCCATGAAGAGATTTTTTTTTTGGCGGGGGGGCTTTTGTTTGTTTTTATTTCTCCACAACTTTACTAAAAGATTCTGACTTAACAAGTACAACTACAATGGCTGACACATAACTAAACTGTAATCTTTGCTTTGTCTCACTTTCTCCCCACCTCTGGGCCACCACCCAAAGATGGTCTATTCCCATACCTCCAGGTCTTCTAACAGCCCCTTGCCATTCCCTCTAGGAAAAGGAGCTCTACCTTCAGATGTGTTTTAAAGGGTTTTAGAGAAACAGAAACAAAACAAACCCCTGGCTGGTAACAAAAACAAAGAGCCAAACCTCCCCATCTCCTGCAGCATTAGCCACGGGTGAGCAGGAGAATGAGCCCACGCATTATTCCACTCATCCCCAGGAGGGGCGGGTGGTGGAGGGGAAGGCCTGCACCCAGGTCAGCACAGGCCTAAACTCAACAACCCATGCGGCGCGGACCCTGCAGATGCAAACCTCAGTTCGTACAAAGAGACTCAGCCAGGGAAGAAAGTGGCAGCTTCCAACATTTGCTGGAGAAAAATTGGAAACAGTGACCTGAAACGCTGTGAAAACCATCCTGACCACAGTAATGTCAAGAGCAGCCACCCTTGGCAGGGTGTGGACTGTACCTGTGGGGGTGGGGGTGGGGGCGCGCAGGAAGCCGTTCCAAAGAGGCCTCCCCCACCCACCCCGCAGGACACACGCAGAGCCACACACTGTCCCCAGCCCGCGGGCCAGCTAGTGGCTTTTCTCTTTGTCTCCCAGCAACGGGGTTCAGGCCGAGGCTGCCCAGTCATGGGGGATTATCCAGACAGGTATTTCCCTTGCTTCTCTTTGTCTTTGTATAACTGTATGCTCTGCTACTTAACAATACATAGAGGCATGAAAAGGAACTGGCTGGCTTCCCCTGGGGGAAGGATTTGGGACCACACTCCCTGGCTGGTGCGCAGCTGGTGCCACGCTGCCCAGCACTGCCTGGTGTGGCAGTGGTGTGCACCGCACTGGTAGGGATCCGTGGACAAGCTGATCGGTCTGAAATCTGAAAGGGATGGAATGCTCAGGGGTCCCATATCCTGCCCCACCAACATGGTTCTCCGTAAACCAGCCAGCAAAGACCGTTCACTAAGCATTTGCCATGTGTCCTGACCGGGACTGTGAAGAATTCCTGGGGAGCAGGAGCCTGGACTTGGGATGCAGAGGCAGTGCTGAGACCTTGGACAGGTCGAGGCTCCGAGGGGCCCCTGCTCCCCTTTGGGGACACTGTCTCCCTTATAAAACCAGGGTGTGGATTCGACAGATAGTACATGTCCAAGCACAGTCACGGCTGGCATGTTAGTGCTGCTATGAGCTAGGAACTGCGTGCTAAGTGCACTGCGTGGAGTATTTCACCAGATCCTCACCCCTCCCTGTGAGGGAGGGAAGGGCAGGGGTCCTCCAGTTCAAATGAGGCGTTGAGAGTCAGAGAAATCAAAGCACCTCCCCAAAGTCACACAGCTCATGCGAATGAGAGCTAGAAAGTACCCCCAGGCCCGTCAACTCCACACTTCTAGTCTCTGCTCCACTGCCTGCTGTCTGGTAGGTGCTCAATACACATTACATGACATGTAAATGTGGAGCTGGGGGCTGCTGGCTCTCCACCCAGGAGGCATATGGAGAAGAGGGGACATTTGGCTGAGAGAGTTTAGGAAGCCTTTCTGAAGCAGGAAGGGCTGGTTCTCGGTCTTGCGGGGTAAGGATGAGTAAAGGCAAAAGAGAAGGAAAGCACTGCATGCTGGGAAAGACAAAGGAAGAACTGGAGGCAGGGGTGACCAGGCAGATGGGCAGAGAACAGCAGTGGAGACTAGCCAGGCTGGCGGGAGGAAGAAGGGAGACTGGGTTGAATGAGGAATGGGACCCCTGAGCCATTACCATGGGGGCCATTCCACCTGGGATCTTTCTCACCCGCACCCCGGAGACGCTACTGTGTCTGCTCCTTTGGTCACAGAATAGCTGCGGAGGGAATTGAGACCCATGACTGGAAAGGCCCGATACCCCCTCTCTCCCCACAGAAGGCTTAGAACCCAACTTAGCGAGCAGTGTGTGGCCAGCTCCCAGCCCACAGATTCTAGCCCAAGCTCCAGGACGCCAGGAAGCTGCATGCTGCCCTATGCACGCAGTATCACCACCACTACCCTGGCATGCAGGGTTTCCAGGAGAGGGGAAAATAAAAGTAAAAAATGAGGCCTTAGGACATGAGCTCCTCATAGCCAGGTCCCTATCTCACCTGAGGTCACTCTTGTTGAGCTGAACTACACAGAAGATTCTTCCGCTTAAGGAACTAGTCTGATCAGCCCTGGAGCCTGTGGTTTAGTCCCACCTTAGCTGAAAGGATCATTTGCCTGCTTGCCTCCTGGAGAGGAAGTGCTCCACCACCCCACCTCACCCTACCCCACCTCTCCACACCCCACAGTCTCTGCTTCACCACCCACCCCCTAGCAACTCCGTGCACCCTAGACATGGTTCTGGGCTCCTCCTGGGTGAAGGCGTGGATGCCAGCCTCCTCCACCTCCGACTGCAGGTTCCCCAGGGCACCGCTGGGGTCAGGCACTGCTCCAAATGCTACAGCTACCCTGCCTCAGCTCCCCACCAAGCCCAGAGTGCAGAGTCCCAGGCTGGGCCTCAGGCCCACGGAGAAGGGAAAACTGAGTGGCAATGATTTAGGCAAAGACCATTGGCATGTTAGTGCTGCTATGAGCTAGGAACTGCGTGCTAAGTGCACTGCGTGGAGTATTTCACCAGATCCTCACCCCTCCCTGTGAGGGAGGGAAGGGCAGGGGTCCTCCAGTTCAAATGAGGCGTTGAGAGTCAGAGAAATCAAAGCACCTCCCCAAAGTCACACAGCTCATGCGAATGAGAGCTAGAAAGTACCCCCAGGCCCGTCAACTCCACACTTCTAGTCTCTGCTCCACTGCCTGCTGGATCATGGGCTCAGTTCAAGCCCACCGTTGTGTGCTTTCTTGAAAGTAACAGGACCTGGAGGAGGGAGGAGGATAGAAGCAGAACTGGTGGTGACATGGGCTCCTCCCAACCCTCGGCAGGAGAGGGACAAGGGGAAATGATGAAAAGGCTTTGGCAGATGGCCAATCTGAGCCTCCAGACCGCTGCTTCCTGGGATGGACGATGGGGGCGGGGGGCGGGGGTACCTGTTTCCTTACCTTCCACCTGTGAGTCTGTGGGCAAATTACTTAATTCTACAGAGCCTCAGCCTCCTTAGCTATTGAATGGGGATAGAAACCAATGCCCACACAAACGATTGTGAAGATAGATCGAAATATGGATGTGGACATGCTTTGCAAGCTGTGAAGCTCCCTTAGAAACAGCAGGCATTTTCCATAATCCTAGTGGGTGGGGAACACAGGTCAGAAAATGTGGCTTGAAGGGAAAAGGAGAACTAGGAATCCATTCCATGCCTCCAACTTCTTTCTACACCTTCTAGGACAAGGCACAAGTCTCCAGGGACTTAAAAAGTGCCTGATGGAGACCTATTTATTCCCTGGTCTCAAACACTTTGTCTGGTAAGGAGAGAGCTCTACCCACATTTCCATAATAAGGCAAAACCACATGTGTTACCGGAGGAATTATGCAGAGAGGATGAGACATTTTATTCTGGTCTCCCAGGTCAGGGGAGGCTTTTATAAATAATATTATGCTGTAATGACTGTTAGCATAATAATAACTCCTATGGACTAGGCAGTTCTAAGTATTTACATGGTGCATCTCATTTAATTCTCACGAAGCCCTATGAATGGGTTCACAAAAGACAAAACTGAGGCACAAAGAAATTCACTCCTGTGTTGGCCTTATGCACCTGGGAAGTGGTAGAGCTGGGATTTGAACCCATCAGGCTCTGCTCCTCCAGCACTTTAGGGGCTGGGTCAACCAAGATAGGTCTCTGACCAACTCTGTCTGGCTGAAAGGCTCTGATAAGGCCTGCGGGATGAGTCACTGAGGGAAGGCACTGACTCACCCAGGGCCTCTTCCTCCCATGGGCTGCTGACTCCGGGCCCTGCCACTCTCTGACACTGCCCCTGGTCCGTCCTGAAGGTTGGCCATGCCTCTCACTCCCAAGGCTCCATGTGGGCACCAATACCCAGGGAGACTGACGTAAGAACCTAAACGTGGATGTACATTTACATAACAGAACATTCATGGAATAATTGTTCTTACTATAAAAGGTAGTTCAGTGTTAAAGGGGGAAAAAACCCTCAAATCCCTGCTCTGCTACTCACGGGCTCTGTGACCTCGGACAAATCTTAGCCTCTCTGAGCCTCAGCTTCCTCATCTGTGAGATGTGGTTAACGGCTTATCTCGGGCAATTGTTGCAAAGATGAAAGGAAATAACATGTGCAGCACCTGGCACACCATCGGCTCGATAAATAATGATTGAATGCGATGGCCTTACAAAGCATTTCCACTCTTCAATCATTTTCTTCATGAGAATATCTGGTGGTAATAGTAGTACTTTTAACTAGTATTCATTTGCCACTAAGCCAAATCCATTACCTCATTTCATCCTTAAAAGCATCATTCTCTTCCTTTGACTTAGCTTCGGGACAACAGAAAGGGTATGTCCAACACATTAATTTTATTCACATACACACACACACACATATATATGGAGAGAGAGCAGACGGTCAAAAGTGGTAATACTTAACAGGCACTTACCACATTCAGTATTCTACATTCAGCAGCCTATCTCACCCTCTCAAATACATGCCTGTAAGGTAAGTATTATTCTACCACCCATTTTACAGATGCAGAGCTTGGGGCACAGAGGTTCAGTAACTTGCCCAAGGTCACTTAGGCAGGATTCAAACTCAGAGCCCACATTCTTAAGCACTACACTACATGAAACTAATGAGAGAAAACTCACGGCAACTATGTTTAAATGACCCCCAAGCGCCAAATTCTAAGAACTCCAGTGTGCTGTCACCCGTCCAGCCTAAGCCCTGTCTTCATTCCCTTTCTGCCCCTGCCTGCTCTCACCCTCACCCTGCCCCACCATGCCCAGGCAGGAAGTGCCAAACCAGTGGACTGGTCATCTCCTCCTGGGACCTTAGCCTCATCCCCTATGGTCTATCCTCCACACAGTTACTAGGGACATCTTCCCAGACATGGTGCTCCTCTGCTCAAGAACACTCAAAGGCTCCCTGCTGCCTCGAGCTGAGACCCAGTGGGTCGAAGAAGATCCCCTGGGGACTCGAGGTCCCTGCACTGCCTGGCCTGGCCCCCTTTCTTATGGCCCCAGATTTGCTGGCTTATCAGTCCCAGCAACAGGGTGAGTCAGGGAGGCCGTTCCTGACCAGCCTATTGAAAATTACAGCCCTCCCCACAACTGCCACCCTCCGCCCCACCCAGCACAGCCTGTCTTCTTCCCCGCAGCAGTGCTCTTCACCCACCTCTTATCGCCTGGCCTCATACGCTTCACTTACCCGTTTACTGCCTCCCCTCCACGTGGCAAGGGATTTTACCCTGTTTTTTTTTCCCCCTGCTGTACCCACAGCTACGCAGAACAGGTTCTGACACCCAGTAAGAATCATAAACACCTGCAGAATGAATGAATGAGTAGGCACTTAAAATGCCCAAGAAGAAAATGTCCAAACAGTACAATGATGGGGGAAGGGCTAGCGTGCCTCTGGCCTCCCTCTCTGCTCCTGAGGACATCTCGGGAGAACAAGCTGAGATGCCTAGGTTAAAATGTTTGGAGGCCGTGCGGACTGGAGGGTCCCAGGTTCGATTGGGCATGTGCCTGGGTTGCGGGCGCTTCCCCAGTGGGGAATGTGCAGGAGGCAGCTGATCTATGTTTCTAGCTCTCTATCTCTCTCCCTTCCTCTCTGTAAAAAAATCAATAAAATATATTTTTAAAAAATGTTTGGAGGTCAAACCCCTTCTTGCCCACCCTCCCTAGGATTTACAAGAGTTCCCTATGAGACCCTGGGCCCTTATCCTCCCACCTCTGTTCTGAACTTACACACACACACACATACACACCCGGCTCTCTGTCATATTGAAAGCTGTCTGCATCAGTCCTAAATTCGTCTGCCCAACCTCAGTTCCCTCCACCCACCTTCAAACCAGGCCATTTCCCATTCCTCCTGACCTTGACGCCCACTAGAATGCTCTCTTCTTCCTCCTACTTATCCATCGGCCCTTCATCTTTCCTTCGAGATCCAGATCAAATGTGCCCTCCTTCCCCTTCCCCTCTTCCTCCTCCTCCTCCTCTAGGGAGCTTTCCAGGCCCTCTTCAGCCCCTAGAAAACACTCCCCACACCCGATACTGTCTCCACCAGTCATATGGAAATTAGTCATGAACTACCATGTGACTTGCCTTCTATGAACGGAACTATTACCAAAATCTCCTGTTACTTTTTTAAAACACGTGTGTCTTCTTTTCCCAAGTATATTGTGAACACTTAGGGAGGAAAGGCTGAGCCTTCGCCACATTGTCCTTCCCACCGCACAGGGCCTAGGACACACAGTAGGTGCTCAATATACCTGTGCTTCTCAATGAACTGCCCACGGTAAACAAGTCACCTTCCTAAGCAGGTCACTTCCTCAATTACAGATACCTGAACTGGCTCTCCCAATTCCCTGAATTTTTCCTTCAGGGCCTGCTCTGACCTCGGGTATCTGCAAACCCAGTCATGGGCTTGTGTTTTCAAAGGATGTTAGGCCCATTCTAAGGGTATGCCCTGTGCTGAGAAGGTGAGTATGACTGGGAGAAAAATGACCTGTCAAATCCCACAGGTCTGGAAAAGAAAAGCACACAGTTCCAGGCAAACCCAGACGTTCAGAGTGCTTCAATCTCCTTAAATACTGGAGTTCAACAGAGGGGAAAAAAACCATGGTGTAAGTTTTGGTGCACCCGCTCTCAGTAAATTGAGATTACCACCAAAGGTAGCAAAACCTCAAGTTACTGCTGAGCTTCAGAGAGCTGAACCAGGGAGGAGGGAGGAGGCCTGTTCACTGCAGACCCTCTCTGGGTGCGGCCATGCAGCCACCAGAGGAGGGTCTCCTGTGTCCGCACTGCAAGGTAAGCAGGCTGCGCCTAGACCTGTGCACGCCTGAGAACTGAGGTCCAGTTTGCAGCAGGAGGCAGAGCGATGACTCAGCCAGGTGAGTCCTACTCCTTCCACAGTTCAACAGTCCGGACTCCCAGATTATCTATGCTTTTTAAAATTCGGAATAGGAAAATGAATTCACATGGTTCAAAAATCAAAAAGCACAGGAGTACATAGGAAATTTGTTCCCCTATCTTGGCCCCGTCTCCCTAGTCAGTCCCAGCTCTGAAACAGGCAACACTAGTATCAGTTTCTGTGTCTTGTCCCTGATGATGTTTCTGTATACACATGCAAATACAAATACGGATTCTTTTCTTTACATATACACATTTCTCGGTGACCCGCTTTTATCCTCTAATAAAATGGACCTGGGTCCTACCTGTTGTGGCTTGGCAGTTAGAGCATTGCCTGGCACCAAGGGGCCATGGGTTCAATTCCTGGTCAAGGGCACATACTTGGCTGCAGGTTCGATTGCCAGCCCTGACTGAGTGCATGCAGGAGGCAACCAATCAATGTGTCTCTGTCACTTCAAAGTTCCTCTCTCTCCATTCTCACTTCCTTCCACTCTCTAAAAATCAATAGAAAAAATATCCTCAGGTGAGGATTAACAACAACAAAAAAAGCTTTAAAAAAAAATGGACTTGAGCCCTGGCCGGTGTGGTTCAGCTGGCTGAGTGTCATCCCATGCACCAAAAGGTCACTGGTTCAATTCCTGGTCAGGGCATAAGCCCAGGTTGCGGGTTCAGTCCCCAGTCAGGGTGCATACAGTAGGCAACCGATTGATGTTTCTCTCTCACATAGACGTTTCTTTCTCCCTTTCCCCTCGTCTGTCTCTAAAATCAATAAAAATATTTTTAAAAAACTGAAAAATAAAGAATTGGACTTGGAATAGAGAGGAAGATGGAGTGTCTACATAACAAAAAAGATGTGTGTCTGTGTGGCAAGCCCATGAAACAAAGACAAGGGAATAATTCTGGAGAACACGTGTGTAAAGAGAGAACTGAGGTGCAAAGATCAAGCCACCATGGACACCACTGGCCTGCTGCTGACCCAGATGCCAGGCCAACCAGAGAAGAGCTCTGGTGGTTGGGGGCGGGGGCTGGGGGGATCACCCACCCTGACAGCGGTGGAAGCCCCGCGGGCTGAAAGCTCCGACTGGCTTCGCTGAGCATTTCATCTTCCAGAAGACAGAGGACGCGTCCCTAGAAACGGAACAACTAACCTAATTCCCATGGCTATGGGTTATGGCCGATGGGTAGTGACCAGGAGACACAGGAACTGTGGAGGACAAGCAATCATTTCCTCTGAAGTTTGTGAGATCAAAGAAGGGGAAGTGGGTGCCTGAGGCTCTAAGAAAACAGACTCAGATGGCTGGGGGAATAGAAGGGCTCTGGGACCTGAGACTGAGAAAATAAATGATTCAGACTCTGAAACGCAATTCTAGTTATACACTTGGGAGTGGGAGGGGGAGTGAGGAGCAGGGGGATGGGGTGAAGAGGCAGGAGGAGGAGGAAGAGGAGAAGGGGACGGAGAGGGAAGTTCAGGAAGTGGGCAACCGACCATAATGATTCAAAGTTGGACTCAGGGGCAAACTGACTAGATTCTAATTCACCCTTTTCCCCTTCCCAGCTATGAAATTTTGAGCAAGTCAATTAAACCCTCTGAGTCTTGATTCCCTCATTGGTAAGTGGGATTAATGACAATATCTACCTCATGGGGTTGGCCCAAGGATTGAATGAGTTCATGTTTACAAAGCCCTTACCCCAGTCCTGGCTCGAGTAACTGCTCTGTAGGTGGCACAGAATAGGAGCCACGTGGTTGCACAGGAAAGCCTTGTTAGAGAGCAGTCTCATCCCCAGGAGAAGGATGCATAGCCAAGGAAGCCCGAGACAGTGATGCAGGGCCGCCCCAGAGTGTCCACCGAAGGAGGAAAGCCCTGGGTGCTGAGGCTGTGCCCCAGGCCCCAGCGGGAAGGAAGGTTTGGGGTGGGGGGTTGTCTTGATCCAAGTGGTCTAGAGGCATAAAGGGTCCTGGGAAGTTGGGCCTCTGCTCCCACTCTGGGTGCATCGTGGCCTTTGCCAAAAAGAGCTACATTTTTTAAAAAATGTTAAATTTATTGGGGTGACATTGGTTTAAAAAAGGAGCTATTTTTAGACTGACAAGTAAAGATCCAACATGGAGAGGAGACCTGAAGCTGAGGTGGGGGAGGGGCTTGCTTTTTTAAAAAGGAGATTTAGATATTTTCAGTGACCAGGTGTCCTGGTCCAGGGCGTGGAAACCTGCAGGTGTGACTGAAGTGCCTACCGAATCCCTGTGGGGCAGCAAGGGCACTGAAAGCAGCTGCAGAGCCTCTGGGAACAGAGCATGTGGGGTCAAGGACATCGCCTTGTTCTGTGATAGGACGCTTGGTGGTCCATGGGAACTGGCACACCTGGATATAAGAAGGCGTCCGGTCGCAGGTCAGAAAAGCAAAAGGGCCAAGACTTAGGCAAGGGGACTACCTTTCCCAAAGTAAGATCAAAGATCATGCCACCTGAGGGGAGGATGCGAGCAGCGTGCCAGAGGCCTCGCTCCCGATCAGCATTCTATCAGTGACGTGAGTGATGCTATGGAAGGCACAGGAATAGGATCCTGAAGGAGCTCAACAGAACAGGGCTGCACTGAAGTGAACAACTTGACATTCAACAGGCATGGCTGTTCTCAGTCAGGTGTGAACAAAACAGAGGCTCTGCCTCTAAATTCTAAAGCCACACACATTCTAGGCCAGGGGAGAAGCAGCTTACCAACAACACCACGTGTTAAATAGACCTGGTCAGCAATAATGTCAGCAAAAATGGGGGTGGTGTGGCTGCCAGAAAAGCTATTGCAATCTTGGGCTGCATTAAGAGGAGTAGAATGACCTAAACTAGGGAGGTGACAGCTCCCTTCCTCTGCTGTGGTCACACCACAAATACCATAAATGGTCTGGGTATTGCCCTCACTGTATTAGAATATGAACAAACTGTATTTTGTTCAGAGGAGAACCAAGGAAAGGTCAAAAGACCCAAGCGAGCCTACATCATAGGTTGTTAATCTGAAAGAAGACTCAAGAGAAAACAAAAGGGCTATCTTTAAATATTATATTTCACTAATTAGAAGATGCAACTTTTTTCAGTGATAAAATGTCTGAAAGCAGACTGTATCGCAAATCCCCCCGACCTCTAACAATCCCTCGGGGCCCGGATGCAGCTGTGGCGCAGTTGTCATTGCCTCATTTCCATTGTCGTGTGGAAATTTGACTGTTGACAAATCTAGACAACTGCCACCTTCCACACTAGACTCAGGAGGCCAAGCATTTAAGGACCATGTCAGGAAGGAATGTGCGTCCCGGCTGCTGACTGTAAAACCCTCCTTGGATACTTTCTGATAAAAGTAAAGAAAGCAACACCATCGAAACTTACAGAATGAGCATCAGAAGTCAGAAAAAAATCCGGAGACAATAGAGATTAAGAAAGATACCACTACTTCACCAGAACATAAGAAGGTACAAAACACACATGGGTGACTCTGGGTCAAAAAGTGATTTGGAAGACTTGGGTGAAAAAGTTTTAAGAAATGCCATAACCAATTTATTTTCCTTTTTATGTACGTGCAAGAGTGATATGGAATGAAGATGTAGGTCAGTGGTTCTCAACCTTCTGGCCCTTTAAATACAGTTCCTCATGTTGTGACCCAACCATAAAATTATTTTTGTTGCTACTTCATAACTGTAATGTTGCTACTGTTATGAATCGTAATGTAAATAGCCGATATGCAGGATGGTCTTAGGCAACCCCTGTGAAAGGGTCATTCGACCGCCAAAGGGGTCGCGACCCACAGGTTGAGAACCACTGACGTAGGTCTAAGCTCCAAAAGAACGCTTTCAGTAAATACAAAATAAACATGTTAAGTTTATTTAACAAGGCACGGTTGCACAGCTGAAGTGGAAGCACCTTTTCTTTCTTACAAATAAAATAATGGTACAGCTTCTGTCTGATGGTATCAGAGATTGGATTTTTAAAAACTGTCCAAAGAGCTGTCGTGTGGAGGAGAAATTAGACTCAGTCTCGGTGGCTTCAAGGAGGAAACGCTGGAACCAAATGCCAGAAGCCATGGGGAGCCATCGGGGAGGTGACAGGAGGAGCCGTCCAAAGGTGGAAGGGTCACCCCCCAGGTGCAAGCCCAGGCTGGCACGGCCCTGCGGCTCCAAGGCCTGACTGAGAGGACCTCTCACGAAGAGAAAGGCATCGTGTTTTCTTGGCTGCACACACAGGTGCTTTGACTGAGACATTCTCTTAAAAGTCACTAGTTAAGGGTAAAAGCCATTTAGGGAACAGTGCCCAACGGGAGCCTGAGAGGAACCCTGCCCACATCTGTGCTCTGAGCCTCCTGTGGGCCAATTCGGGAAAGGGCCAGAGGGGAAGAGGCCACTCTGTGCCAGGCCCCGCGTCAGGGGTGCCATGCGCATTGCCCCATTCAATCCTCACTGACACCCTGCGAGATAAACTAGAGGCCACAGAACAGAAACTCTAGGCTTAGAGAAAAGAAGCGGCTTGCCCAAGCTTTCCTAGTGACTCTGAGCTATAATGGGCTTCAAATACAAGAAACGCCAGAAGCACACACACACACACACAGCTCCCACAGGCACTATACTTATGACATTTGCTGCTTGCAGGAGCAATTTATTCCATCACAGAAAGCAAGGGTGTTTCTGAGGCATCTATGGCAGAGAACAGGTGCCAGCAGCCCTGCTCAAATGTCAGAGTCGCAAGCGTACCAGGTTGCCATGCCTCCCACCTGCCAGGTTCACGCTGGTGCAAGCGGAAGCTGAGCTCAGCTTCTGTCCCCTCCCCAGGGCCAGGGTGTCCACAGGGCTGGGGAAAACGCTGGGAGACAGACACGCTCGACCCCCGCAATGTGTTCCAGCTGCCTGGTGACATCAAGTCCAGCCCGGGTTCACCGGTAAGCTCAAGTCTCCTCCCAGGGGAAGTGAACTCCAAGTGTGCACCAGAGACTCAGGGCGGGACCCCCTGCAGGAGATACTCAGGTACTTATGAGACCACAGACGGGAGAATCCATCATTTCAGATCATGGCCCACAATGCTTGGAGCATCTGGTGCCTGCAGAACCGATTCTGACAAAGGAAGGGGGAGGCCCCTGGATTCCTGTCCCGTCCTAGCTTTGGTGGGTGTCTCATCCACATGCAGGCAGGTAACTCCTGCTCTTGATCCATGGGCACCCACCCCCACTGCGGCTCAGCACCTGACTCCCTGTTCCAGTCATGGCGAACCTATGACACACATGTCAGAGGTGACACACAAACTCATTTTTTTGGTTGATTTTTCTTTGTTAAATGGCATTTAAATATATAAAATAAATATCAAAAATATAAATCTTTGTTTTACTATGGTTGCAAATATCAAAAAATTTCTATGTGTGACATGGCACCAGAGTTGTTAGGGTTTTTCAAAATGCTGACATGCCGAGCTCAAAAGGTTCGCCATCACTGCCCTATTCATTCCCCTCAAACTGACCTTGAGGAAGGGGAATGATCATCGAGGAAGGCTCAGCCTGTAGCAAGATGATGAAGGGCGGGGCAGTAACCATTTTCTATAGAGGACAGAGTTGCCAGAGCTCACAGCAGGCACCCTTGGTGGCACAGAAAGGGACAGATGTCCCATCTTCTAAGACCCTAACTGAGAAGTTCCAAGTGGTCTGTCCTCCTTCTAAACTGAAATACAGGACTGCCCATTCTGACCCTCCTCACACAGAGGGCTGCAGGAAAAACCAGCACACAGATGAGGCCTTACTGGGACCCAGCCTTACCTGGCCCCCATGCCCTAGCCCCCAGCCCCCACTCCGTCCTTGGTCCTGATCAACAGCTGCTGTCTGGTCGATGTACACATCCAAAGCATGGAGGGCAGTGCGGACCTCCTGACAGATCCCTCACCCTGACTCCCCCACAAGCTGATCTGCCTGAAGGACAGCTCTGACCATCCATCTCCAATGACTTCCCACTGCCTGCTGGGTTAGGGCCATGTCCCCACCCAGCACTCAGGGCTGACCCGATTCCAGCCTCAGCTCCCACGGGTTCCCTAGGCCGACCCATGTTTTCACCATGTGGCACCCTGAACCTACCTCACTTTCCCACATCTCTTTGTGCTGTACCTCTGCCCATCTCTGCCTATGGAAGTCCTTCCATCCTCTAGGCCCATTTCAATGACCAAGTGCCACCTCCTCCAGGAAGTCTCCCCTGATTCCCCCCACTATGCAACTCTCCAAAGCACATTGCATACTCTGCCTTGATGTGCAGGCATCAGTGAGCTCGTCTAATGCACCTCCCTCTGTGCATTAGATTAACTCTGTTCCTGCCATTCATCACAGGCCCCCAGCATGGACATTGTGCATTGTGAGCTAAGGAGCCTTGGCCATGGTACTCCATGCCTGCCCTGACAGCACCCTATTTACAAGTTTTTCTCATGCCCTCCTTCACCTATTCCCAGATAACTCATCCCCCATTCTCTCAAGGTTCAGCTCTCAGCTGACTGACAATCAGAGATACACTATTATCTGTTGTCCTTCCTAGTGAAAGTATATATATTTTAAAAGGCCCTCTGGAAACAATGGCTAAAAACAAAGATAGAAATTTCAGACCCCAAGGCTCTGGGGACGGTATTTTTGATAAGGAAAGGCCTTGAAATTGTTGTACAAACCAAGTGCTACAAGTGTATAGATTCAAAGAATGGGAGAGCAGTTAGAAAGGGGTTTCGGGGGTGGGCTCTGTCCTTCAGAACTGCAGGCAGAGCAGCTGGAGACAGATCACAGGGTCCTGGCAGGGCAGAAATGGTAGATGGAGAGAAGACCTGACTGAGACTTGGCTGGGTGACCTTGAACAAGGAACTGCACCTCCCAGGCCTCTGCTCAGTATCAAGAACCCCTGAGCCTCAGTTTCCCTGTAGTACAACAAGGTGCAGGAGTGAGCTCTGGAGGACCCCAGAAGGCCCTTCCGATCTGACATCAAGATTCTATGGCTCACGGCCTCACCTCTTCCTCACTCCCCGGAAGTCAGCACGTTTGCAACCACCCTTGTTCCACTCCCTCCTTACCTTGAGCCTCCCTGAGTCCAAAGGGAAAGGAACCACTAAAGATTTCCCAGCCAATCAGCAGGCAGCATGCAGGGTGGAAGGAAGGGGCAGATGTGGGGGAACGTGTTGGTTTCTATGGACACAGAAATGCTACTCTCATTCACACCATCTGTCCCGGACCAGAAAAAGACAAGTCAGCTGGTTGCATTTGCTTCTCTGACCTACCTTTTTAAGAGATTACAACTGCCTGCCAAATTTAAGTGTTGCCCTAAAATCAGGACATATAAGGTCTCTCTGCCGGATCTGCAGGGCTTCAGAATGGGTAGAGAGCAAGAGTGATGACGAATGGAACTCGGGGAGGCAGTCTAGGCTGTACTGTGTGGCCATGCCAAAGAAAGGTTTTGAGAAACAGCTCCTCTCCTCTTTCATGCTGAAGATAAAGATGAAGTTGCAGCAATAAACAGACATCTGCTAGGAGCTTCCGAAGAGATTACAACATAAACACCCCAGAGACGGCTATAAACAGCCCGGAGTCCTCCCCAAGTGGCCACAGCAGCCTGCTCACCAATGCGGCTGGGGAAGGGGAGGACAGAGGGATAGAGAAGGAGGTGGTATTGAGAGGCTGTGGGAGGATGGAGGCTGGGCTCCCCACAAGCAGGAGGAGGTGGTGGGGAAGAGTTAAACTTGGTAGAAAATGGAGGACTGGCTGCCTTCCACAAGGGGATAAAGCTCAGGGACCCCCTGAGAGGACTTCCGGGAAGTCATCCGGAGGATTCCATGCCAATGTCATTCATTCTGTTTAATTTCAGGCCTTGATTTATTTTTGTTGGTAAAAAAGAAAGACAAAAAACAACACTATGCTTCGCAGTGCCTACGGAAACCGGGCACTTCACAGATACTTTAATTTCATCTCTGCACTTGCGATCGACCGGTATGAATGCCTCCTTTTTACAGACTGAAATACCCGGGTTCACTGACTTGCCCAAGGCAACTCGGCTTGGATGTGAAGCCAGGTCTCTCTCAGCACATTGGTTTGTTTGCTTCTGCCTCTGTCACATGCATCCAGAACATTCCTCTGAGGTTTTCCTCAGACCCAGACTCTCTATCCCCACAAATCTAACGCGAGGATATTCCTAAAGGGGAGCGGTGACAAAGCAGGGTGATGATTGAGCTTTGGCTAAGTCAAGCAAATGCTGAGTCTCAGCAGCCCTGTGGGCCCTATTGTTTCACATCCTGATTGCTCCCCAGGAGGCCTGAAGAGGCACAAAGGGGAACACAGGTACAAAGATATGTCTCAACTCATTCTGGAAGCATCCACAGGAGAATGGGACACCAGTTGTCATTGAGGAAGAGGACTGAGGGCTGGAGACATGGGAAGAAAGAAGACTTACTTTTCATTGAATTCCCTTTGTATTTAGTGACTTTTTTACATGCATCAATGTATTGTGTGTGTGGGTGAGTAATATGCATCAATGCAAGTATATGGGGTGAGTACCATGCATCTATGCAGCTGTGTGTGGGGGAGTACCATGCATCCATGTATTGTGTGTGGGGTGAGTACCATGCATCTATGCAGGTATGTGGGGGTGAGTACCATGCATCCATGTATTGTGTGTGGGGTGAGTAATATGCATCTATGCAGTTGTGCATGGGTGAGTACCATGCATCTGTGCAGGTGTGTGTGGGTGAGTACCATGCATCTGTGCAAATGTGTGTGGGTGAGTTCCATGCATCTGTGCAGGTGTGTGTGGGTGAGTACCATGCATCTGTGCAGGTGTGTGGGGTGAGTAATATGCATTTATGCAGGTATGTGTGGGTGAGTACCATGCATCCATGTATTGTGTGTGGGATGAGTACCATGCATCTATGCAGCTGTGTGGGGGTAAGGTGCATGCATCTATGCAGCTGTGTGGGGTGAGTACCATGCATCTATGCAGGTGTGTGAGGTGAGTACCATGCATCTGTGTGTGGAGGTAGGTGAGTCATTTTTAGAGAGTCCAAATGTCAGATATAAGTAAACAGACCCATCAAGCTGG